ACTGCTATACACACACACATGCTAAATTCAACAAATGTGATAGATCTGCTTTTGCAATGTTGCGATCTAACTGTTTGTTAACATTTACGCACAAATTGTTGAAAGACATTTATAAACAGTGTTATCGGGCAAAAAATAAAAATCTCCATGACATTTCAAGTGTGAATGAATAAATCTGATGATGATTCACTGGATATTTTTGCATACAGACATTTATAGCTGGATAAACTTGCCTGAGAAAGCACTCCAAATGGGGAAAAAAAAAAGCTGTGAAGTGACAGCTGTCAGATAATTTTGCGTGCACAGATGGTTCACTGTGGCTAAAAAACTACTCAAGATGTTGTTAAAAAATCCACAACGTGTCACTCCAAGCTTTTTGGTCCCTTCAATAGGGAATATAAAGAGGAACACGACCACCACACTAAATTTTTTACAACCGTGACATTTTAAGGCGTTGTCTCAAGAAACAAACAGATACGGAGAGCGAGGACGTGAACTGTTGCAGCCACACGAGACACTGGATTTCATCTGCTGCCTCACATGAAAATCTTAAAAACCCCACAATTTCAAAATCACATTGTTACCAAAAAATAAACAAAATCAACACAATAAAGCAATTACAGTCACTTCCACATTGTTTGCTTTCCTGATTCTTCCATTATGCTGGTTTATTTATTCTTTAATTTTTTAAGCTATTGTTCGTTTTATCCAATATCTCTTTATTTCTCAACACAAGATGTTTATTCTATGCTTTTGTTTGATTTGCAATAAAATGAAAACATGCCAGGCAAATAACTTTCCCACAATGAAGCTAATGATTGTATGAGCAACTGGATAAACCAAATAGTTTTTAAATGCAGGATGTGTTGATTTAACTTTATTACAATGTCATAGATTACAATTTTGCTCAAAATCTATGGCAACCCCTGCAGAATGGAGCAGTCAAAAGCAAAACAGAAACAATCTTCATAGTCTGTTTGCAACGATACAACTGACTGACAATAAACTAATTTGGCACACTCTGCTCATTTCAGGTCAGCCCAACTGTTAGCACACACTTGGTAAMAATTCCTTTGACCAAATGCCCTAAAACACACTAACATCAGAAAAGTAGCTAATGTTGATAAAAATAATTCAGTTTTTGTAGGCTCATATTTGATCAAGTTGATCTTTAACTTCAAAACATCCTGTTATGCTCAAGCACTCATCTGCATTATTCCCCGAGTCAAACCATTTCACCGAAACGAGGGGAACGCTATTTTAAAAGATGGCAATTGATCTCATGATTTACCCTTTTTATTGAGGAAACTGATTGTTAAATTTTGTGAATTAAAATCACTTGGATTCTGCAGCTCAGCACATGTAAGTTGACAAGGACGAATTTAACAGAYCCCCATGATTCATCTCAATGAGCACTATCTTGCTGAATATTATAATAGAGTTCCATGYCTGAATACTCAGCACTCCCACACCGTTAAAAAATACATAATTGTGATGTTAAACATCAAGGCTTCAGGATGAAGTTAAAGTAGGCAGTCTTCTGAATATTTACCATGCCTGAGGATTTGTAAAACTGGCATTCATTCAGGTACAAGACAACATTCCTTAGGACTGTTGCTAATGAAAAACTGAAAGTCTGAAAATGTTTTGAAAGGGCAGTGTACATAACTTATGCGTTTTCAGCTTCTGTAATCTGATCTAATGTTTCATTTAACCGAAGTCATCATTTGATGTTCTGCCTTTGGGATTTTGGGTCCTGATTGTTCTTGTCATTTGTGTAAAATTTCTGCATTAGTTTGCCTGATTTTGTGAATTGTATCTAGATTAAAAAAAATAAACAAGTCAATACAAAAAGTATGTTCATGTACACTCCTRTTTTTTTTAAAGGGGCAATTTCWTGTAAAATCATTTTTTTTAGCTTTATATCAACATTATCCCCTCAACAAAAACATGCAGTCTTGCTTTGACTCATTTATGCACGTTTGAGAAATCCTTTAATGCTCTGAGGCAGCCATGCAGGAGAGCAAAAACAACCAGTTTRGCCTAGAACTGCCTTCTAGGAGCAGCTCCTCCTCTGRGCTGTGTCTCCCAGCCGAGTTTCCTCATCACTTAGCACACCTCCCCCATGACTCCTGCAGGCTATCAGCAGCAACAACTAGCAAACAAGTGGTGAAACTCCATCTGCTGAGCTCATAATACTTCTGAGTCCAGTCCGTTTTGGATTAAAAACTGCCTTTGAGGAAATGTATTTTCGGATGCCAAGGATGACACGGTTCTTGAGAAATGGTTTGATTTCATTTTTGGAAATAACCCTCCGATGAGAAAGCAAAAACAAAACTATATTTGTGAGAGCCACTTTACAGCTGATAGCTTTCTGAACAAAAGACAATAAAACAGTGGACTAATTACAAGATTATCACTAAAAGACGATGCAATTCCAACACTCAGAAGGACACAAACACCGTTGTCGCATGCCCAGGTAAGCTGAAAACAACTCACTGTTTTGTTCAGTTGTATGGTCTATCTGTGATCTATGGTTATAGCTTATATTATGATCTGTGCTCTTTAGCTGGCTTACACCATATTTTAGTAATAAATAAATTAGCTTAACATGTGCATGTGAGGATGACTGGGAGATATCTTGATTTGATTTATTCAACAGGAAAAGGTTATTAAAAATCAAGCCTGACTCAGCATAATTGCTGTTTTACAGCAGGTTCCTGTTCTGCAGCACATAAAACACTCAGAATTACAGCATCACAATCACATCATTATACACCATAGACACAAAGACAAACAAGCATACCAAATCTTACCAAGGTGAATCATCACTTCTGTACTCGCTCCGGTTCTTCAGAAAACGTACTTTCYTGGTCCGACGGTAAGGTTCAATTGTATACCGAGTTGCCATTTTCCAAAACCTATGTTGTATAATGTTGCAGATTTTTAAAATTATTACTACAACAAAATAGCCTACAACACTCCAGCAGTGTTGCCAACACCTGAGCAAGACAAGTCCCTATTGGCTGTCCTAAAAGTCACTAGATGTTAGTTGGATATTTGCCCATAATTGTGATCTGAGCCATATGATAGATGATAAACAGAAAAAAAGTGAAGAAAAGCACTAAACCTGTTTAGAACTGTAATTTAACATAATGAAATAAAATAATTTTATGACTTCAAAATTTAAATTTGATTCACATAAATCAAATTTGTGGGAATCTTAAATTTAATCTGCAGACGGTTTGATGTCACGAGGCACAGAGAAGAAGAGGTGAAGAAGTGACTGATTTGTGAGTCAAATGCAGCTGGGTCCAGAGATTTAGTTTAGACAGACAGTATCAGAGAAAAAAAAAAACGTTACAGTAAATATTACAACCCGATTTGTAAACCAGACAGAAGCAGTGGCAGCTTTGCTCATGTGTGGTTCATTTGCAGCGGTCTCCTCTCTGTTGACTTCAGCCGGGGGTGGGGGTGCCGCACGAGTCTTCAGTGAGTCGGATGGCTTTAGGGGGAGGGGCTCACCTCAGGAAAGGAGAAGGAAGGGGAAAAAAGTGCTTGGAAAATGCTGTCGCCAAAGCTCCTAAAAGTCTCTAAAAAACACCGGGAAAAGTCGATAGATTTGTTGCTAGTCACTTTTTGGAAAAAAAAGTTGCTAGAGGGGTCTAAAATACTGACCTAATATAATAATATAT